TTGTCTTTTCTGGGGTCCTGGACTGGCGTGTCTCATAGGGCTGGACTGGAGTTGAGGTCACACCTGCGCCACGTAAGGGTGGCCGAGGGGAAGGTGATTTGGCTGGTACAGCTGCTGGAGGCCATGGGAGGGGAACTGAGGGTTCCTCTTTAATTTCAAGGGTGATCTCCTCTGGGATATTTGGCTCGGCTTGGTCAGCTGGTAAGGTGAAAGCACTAAGCTTCTCTAATTCATCCAAGAAGTTGTCCAGGAAAGGAATCAGAGGGTTTGCCGGAGGACACTGAGCTGTCAGGGATGGCCACCCCTGGCTAGGCCCCTGCTGAGCTCCGTTATCTGGGCCAGGAGAAGCTCTGTGCGTGAGAGGAGGGGCTGGTTCCCTGGGAGCCAACTTAAAAATGAGCAGCGAGTGTGAAGCCAAAGAAAGGAAGAAACCAAGAAAATAACAACAGTGCATCAAAACACAGAGACAGAAATGCAGGGAAGGTAGTGAATACAAAACAGTATTTTATGCTGTGGTGTAGATTTGAAGATGTTTTGCTGAATTTTTCCTACATAAAACCACTAGCATGTTAGAAATTTATTTGGAAAATGAAACTCTCCTAGTATTCGAAAGGGGTCGTCAGTGTCAAATGACAAAATAGAGCTGTCATAGCGATTATAAGGCTAGACAGTGAAACCTTAAGTGATTTAATTTCATTTAACAGACTACCTCCTTTAAACTAGGTTCCCAGATTTTGACTTAGTAGTAGACATCAGCCCCTCACAGACTTTGAAATGATATTAATGTAGAATGAAAGCCAATAATTAAACCTTTCTCAGCTGCTGAATTTGTGAGGTGTTCTTGCTGCCTAAAGCAGTGCCCAATCCCATGAACCTCCCATAATTTTCTCACCTATGTTTGCCAGGTGATTATAACATATGGCATAAAATATTTTTATATCTTATATATATGAACACATTTCTAAATGAACAAGTTTGGAAAAATATGTTTTGAGAACAGAAACCCATGATCAGAATGAAACTGAACTTACACTAATTCTTCAAAGTTTTTATTTTATTATATTCTTTGACTTCAAAGTTTTTAAAAAATTCAAAGTAAGTGATTACATTGAAAGGGAGCATATGATGTTAGTGGGAAAAATCTTCAGCTAGGACTTTCATCTTTCTCAATAGCTTGACATTTTATGTAAACTTGGGGAGGTATAATTTAAGCTGAATCTTCTGAGTAAAAGTAGACTTCTGTGTATCTTAATATTATTGCTATATTCTGGATATATTTGACAAAACATAATTTTTATGTAAATTCATTCAAAGATCTAGAAGTGCTGCCTAGTAACATTCTAATACATCTATCTATTGCTACTGGGCTGGGAAGGATGGCTCATGCCATGCTGTGAAGGCCTTGAGAGAGGCTGGAGGGTGACATTTTACTTTAGTTTTTCCCAGGGAATGATTTTGGTTTGGAAAGAAAAAATGTTAAAGAAAGAGTATGAAGATGTGCTTTCTGGTTGGTTGTTCTGCACTCAGCACTCTGGGTGCCAGGGCCTTAGTAGGTATCAGCGTACAACACACCTCCACTTAACCTTTGACTTCTGTGTCCTATAATAGGAAAGGGGCATTTATAGAATTTATTTAGCTGTGTTTTTTCTTTTTTAAGCAAATATGCCATGTCACCATGTGGTGGAATAAAAGAGACAAAGTGTCATAAAACTTATCTGAGCATCTTATAGAAGATTCAGCACTAAGGCTTCTTAGCACCTGATACAAAGCAATACTCTACACTTGATCTATTACTGGATAGACAGACATTCCTAGCAAGTCCTGTATATATTTAATTTTTAATAAGATAGACATGACCTAAGTCTTATTTGATAGTCTAGAGAAGTTCCCTTATTGGCCAGAGTCCAATTGTATGCTCTATGCTATGCAACACAAGAATAGATTTTGAAAGCCTGTGAAATATATAATAAATTCAAGATGATTACTTTTCACTTTCTCTCATGGTCAGGAATATAATGTGGATGATAAAGAAAGATCTTTAAATTCTACCCCGATCACTATTACTATTGCAGTGTCATTACTACCATAGTTACTAATCTATGTTTAACAGGTTCAAAGCACTTAGCTTTATAAAGGACTTATTTCTACTGAAAGTCACATTAAGTGTCCTGGGATACTCATATCACAAAAATATACCTATAATACAAAAATCATTAGAATTGGATTCTACTGTACAAAAAGCAGAAATATCTGAAATATTATCAACTTATATTTGAGCTACCCCTGAAAAACAGTATATCAAAAAATGTGATTGAGTGTGTCAAAGAGTAATTTATAAATCACTTAAATTCCTTCCTTATTTGCAAATATCAGTTAGAAAATAAGATATGTAACATATATTGGATAGCATCGTTTAGAAGTACATTATAGTTCTTTTTCTGAAAATGATGGAGTTCTACACTACTGAGAAGTTTCCTTCATTAAGCCAATATCACAGCACAGATTATCAGAGGGAATAAAACCATTAAAAAAATTTTTCCAAATATGGATGTAAGATTTTCAATATATTTTCTCCCAGCAGTGAGAATAAAACACTAATTATTTATCAGTGAAATTTGTACATTCATCTATTTATATAAAATGTAAAATCTGGTGTTCTAAGAAAAAACTTAGGAAACTGAAAATACATTTAAATTATATTCACAACAAAGATTAAAACACTGTGATCTAAAATATTACATGCTAATATTAATTAGGACATTATGGAAGAATTTCTTAAATGTTAAAATAAGCCTTTGTAGAGATACATGCTTATTTTTTCTTATAAAATTTTATTTGAAAGTACAGTTGCTTTGAATTTATTTGGTAGTTCATTCATTTAAGATGACTGAGTAGTGGATAGGCCAAATATGCAGATGAGGATTCTTATCTTTTCATTTATCAGTAGGAACTACTAAAGGAAGAATGTTGATCTCTAAGTGCTAAGCTCTGGTAGTGAAGTAGATATACTGAAGAAGATTCTGGAAAAGTTTATAACCAATCAACCAAAATTGGACGGTACCAAATGGTTCCATTGCCCAATGATAATGGATTGAGAATAATTACCCTGCAACGAAACCCATTCTTCAAAGAGAAGTAGAATGAATATAATGCCAACCTTTGCCCTTTTAAAGAAAATGTTACTCTTAAAATAGGAGATCTTAGATTACTAGTATTTGCTTTTGTGAAATCCTCCTAAGACTCATTTTCAAGGAGAGGGTTAGGGCACTGGGGGTGCTATCTTGAGATGGTCTCGCATTGAAACATGAAATGACTGTACAACATCCAATGTTGATGTTATATTGCTGGCTCTAGATGGTTTATTTCCCATGTCCTAGCCTTGATCTTAATTATTTATTAAAATAATCAATAAATTATGCAACATCATACACTTTTTAAATGTTCGGAAGTACTTACAATATTTTGAAACTAATTCCTTGGTAATTTAAAGTTTTATACTTGGAGGTTAATAAAAAGGTGAAAGAAATCCCTAAATACCATCCATAAGAAGAGCACACTATATTATAACTTAACAGAAAATTAAAAAAAGAAATTCATATCATGAGTAAAGAAAGTAGAATAGCCTTTTCTAGTTAACCAGTTCAGGGAGCAAAGTTCCTTTTAGACCAGATATTGAGAAAGATAATTATCTTCAGCCACTAGCTCAAGTGAGATAGTAGAACTGGTACATAATTATCCTAAAACTATCAACTACACATGAGGGCCCCTAATGACCAATGATATTTTCATTCAGACTAATAAACACTTTAAAATTTTACTCTATTTCTCTTTCTATATTAAAAAATCTCAAGACTTATACAGAATTTTTCAACCTAATTACCATGTACTTTGAAATAAACCATTTTTGGATCTATTGATTTATCTATAGATGAATATATGCATACATACATATGTATATAATCCATTTAATATATACATATATGAAATTAAGCTTTAGAAAAAAATCACGTTTCAAAAAACCTGAGTTTCAGAAAGCAGGTATATTTATCTATAATATAGGCTCTTATGATACCAATTTTTCTCTTTTAGTATTTTAATTCAAAAATGAAATTCTCAAAATCAAGCATTAAACCTTTATGCCAGCACCCATAAGAAAAATTTATATTGACTTGTCACTCAAACTTGGAAGCATAACATGTAAATCCCTTGCTTTGCAATAAAGATGATGTTCTTAATGACCTAATATCAGCTATTATCTTACTCCAAGCTCCCCAGTGTTCTACTAATATGCTAAATGTCTTCTTACCTTGTTGGAACTTAAGCTGTGGATTCTATCACTCGAGTAGCTGTGGGGTATTGGAGGGTCGGGGTAGTCCTCGGCGCCTTTGGCTGTGTTCCTCTTCACGACTTCTACATAGGAAACAGGGAAGATGCCTTGTCTGTTGGTTCCTGGGATTTTACCTTCGTACCAGTTCTGATCAACTCTTTTGAGAAGAATAACTCTGTCTCCCTGTAATGAACGTGAGGAAAATGCATTGTAAGTAGGGAGGTGACAACATCAGAAATATAATTGCCAACGTTTTCTAACAAACAATAGTTTTTCATTTGGGAGAGTGTTATACCTCCAGTTTTATTTAGTCAGGAGAAGGCAACTAAAGTCTCAGTTCATTCCCAAATTATAGCTGATCAACATATATGCCATTTAGTCACCCATGGTTAATGTGAATGGGCTCATACATGCTCATACTGGTTCCGTGTGAAATGATTTGTGTAATGTCAAAAAGCAGAACGGTTTAATAGGCAATGTCTCCTAGACAGCAGCATCCTGTCATGGACAGTCCACAGAATGAGCTTCCACAGGAAGGAAGAGCTTCTGAAAGGGTCACTCAGCTCTCTGTGACGGCGTGCCTGAGGGGGTTGCAGGAACCGGCCTCCGGAAGGGATGAAGTTGAATGGCACACCGTTTTTCTTTTTACCCTCCACATGCTAACTAGTAACGAAGAGTGAAGCCAATGGGGTGGGACCAAGACAGCCCTCGTGATAATCCATGTCTGTGGCCAAGGCCGACACCCACCTGGTCTGCACCCAGACGGCCTCACACCAGCATCCATTCTGAATGATGGATCGCCACGCCACAGTGGCCATTCAGTCTGTTTATAGAACCCCTGGCTTTTGGAATAATAGAACTTTCTACAGTCACTATGCCTGCCGCCTGCAGTGATCAAGCCAATGCCACAAAACAGTGTAAATTTTAACTCGAAACCACACGTGGCCCAGAAATAAGTGGGAAAGACGTGGTTAGACACTAAAACTCCACGCAGCTGCATCCAGCAGATCACTTGAAAGTTTGGGCAGCTGCACCTGCGAGGACGAGAGAGGCGACTGACACAAGGTCAGAGCTTCAGCACCGGAGGGGTACTTTGTCAGGGGTACTCAAAGTGAAAGCTTGCTTTTCGCAAATGCTGGGTGGTTTTTATAGACTGTCCCCCTGCCATGGAGCAGAACATACCAAAGCTAACTGGATCTCTCTGCATCTTAAAATTGAACTGCTTTGCCCTAACCGGTTTGGCTCAGTGGATAAAGTGTCGGCCTGTGGACTGAAAGGTCCCAGGTTCGATTCCAGTCAAGGGCATGTACCTTGGTTGCAGGCACATCCCCAGTAGGGGGTGTGCAGGAGGCAGCTGATCGATGTTTCTCTCTCATAGATGTTTCTAACTCTCTATCCCTCTCCCTTCCTCTCTGTAAAAAAAAAAAATCAATGAAATATATTTTTAAAAAAATGCACTGCTTTTCTCTGTAACACACCAGCATGAGGCTGATGCCAGGCTACTGCTCGAGCTACAATTGCATTGGCGGAAGCTTCGATGGAAAGTATGAAACAAGCTGATACAGATGCTGTGCGGCAGCTTGGAGGGTAGGAGAGAATCTGTCGATGGTGCAGACCCAGGTCTCACAGGGGAGGAGGAGGTGAGGCTCTGGAGCCAGGAGGAGGACAGGGGTCCTTCCCTGCATTCACCGCAGGCAGGAGGCGCTCTTGGCCCGCCCGCATGTGACCATGGTCTAGTCTGCGTGGTGGGCAAACATACAGGTGCCTCAAGCAAACGGACACGATTGCTTAGCAAACACCAAAAACCATCATGGAACCATTCTCAGCTGTGTAAAGCAGCAAGCTAGCGTGCTTTCCCTACTGCTAGGAAGAGGCACTAGGATTGGCTAGGCTTCCAGTGAAACAGGGGGTCAGTCATGAGGCCTAGAGAAGGAAAAATGCTCCCCAGGAAGAAACAGCTTCATGACTCCAAGATAAACATATTAATTAAAATTTAAAAAGAAACGGAATGAGAAGGCAGCAGAACAATCTTTTGCAGTCTACTGAAGTGCTTTTCCTTTTGATGCCTTTCCACAAGTTCAACTCCACGGTGCTCAGGCCGAGGCACCCCTGGGAGCGGAAGCCCCTCTGAGAAGCTTCGAGTCCTACAGGGACCTCAACTGGACACCAGGAGGGGCAGAAACAGTGGTCCAGGGCAGCCCCAGGGAGTGCTCTGTCCTTTCTTTACGGAAAAACACAGACATGTCTAAGGAGGAAGACAGCCCTTGAAAGGCACCAGGTCAGAAGGCAGCCCGGGTACCTTTCTCAGCGACAGCTCCACGTTGGTGTCCGCGTTGAAGTTGTATTTGGCGATAGCTTCTCCGATTTCTCCAGGCTGGGCTGGGGGCGGCGGCCTTGCGGGCTGTGCTTTCTCAGGAGGTGAGAGTTTCTAGGAGGAAAACAGTTGTTTATTCCTGACCCGCGAGGACCTTGGGATGAGCACCCGCGTGAGAGGGCCGGGAGAGGACTTACCTCCACGTAGGAGATGGGGAAGATGCCCACTCGCCCGTGGTGCTCTCCCTCGTACCAGTTCTGGTCGATTTTCCTGAGGATGTAGACAGTGTCTCCTTTCTTAAACGACAGCTCCCTGGGAGAGACATGCTCAAATGGGTTTTTCTCGAGGAAGAGCAACTATTCTTAAGGTCACTAGACCTGCATTCGGCTGGGAAATATACTTCTGATACTAACCCATTGTACGCCATAAGCGTCCATAGACCAACTTTAAGATCATTTTTCGTGAGAATTTTCAGCTGAAAATATGAACACCTGCATTGTGAGTAATATATCTATTTTTATAATATTCATTGCAAATTGATTTTTTAAAAATTAAATTCAAAATATCGTGGCGTGTGGGAATGGCTTCCGTTTTGGACCCGTGGCAGTTATAAAAAAAAATCTGTCGAGCCCAGTTGGATAAGGATTTTCCTTATAAATTCTTAAGATTTGCTCACAATATTATAACTTTGCAAGTGTGATTTTACCTTGTTTTCCGGTTTAACAATGGAGACATTACATTTGGTAAGTTACATAGCTGTATTTTTAAAAAATTAAATACATTTCATGTATTAGGTAAGTAAAAGTAGCTTTTAAAATAGATTTTTATTTAAAACAGGCATCCATCTCTCGCCTGTTAGATGTTAGGCATGAAAAGTGCTCCTGTCTGGGCATTAATGGAAATGACTTAAAAATGAGGCTAGTCTAGTGGTTTTCAACCTTGGCCGCACATTAGAATCACCTGGGAATCTTTTTAAAATCCTGATTTCTGGGCCTCATCCTCCGGAAATTCTGTTTCTTTGTTACTAATGATGAGGCCCAGAAATCAGGATTTTAAAAAGATTCCCAGGTGATTCTAATGTGCAGCCCAGGTTGAGAACCACTGGGCTAGCCCTTCCGTAACTTTCAGTGCTGGCTGGGCGTGGGAGCCTCTGAAAGTTGCCCGAGTTGGCCGAAACCTTGACTTTTGTTGCAAATAGGTCATTGTCCAGGGATGATGAGCAACAGCTCTATGTCTATGAGAACAGAGCAAGAGCAATGTGACGAAGCTGCAATAAGATATATTTATTTATGGTGGGAGGGGAACAGTTTTCTCTTCCTAAAATTATGGGATGGCTTCCATGGTGACTATTTAACCTGCTTCTCTGAGGCGTACACCATTAGGCTTAGTTGGATTAGGAAGAGCTTTACGGGAGGGGTGGTGCGGGCAACCCTCAGGTCTGTGCTGTTGATGCTCCCACGGGCGGCCGGTGGAAGAACAGGCTTCCCTGAGCCTTTGCTAACCTTGGACTGTCACAAAGAAGAAATGAAATTCACGTGTTCTGTATCGTTATTTTATAAAACCAACATGCATCCTCCAATTGTCACACTATATTCAAAAAACAGTAGTAGTGAGGACCAGTGTATAGTAGACACCAAGCAGATGTTACTTCTCTAATAATAATTTTTAAAATGTAAGCTTTTCTTTTAGGTATATATTTTTTAACACCAGATTTAAGCCATGTTCAACATCTTAATTTCTAAATAGCATTTTTTTTATTTGGTTCATTCCCTATCTCAGCAGCCTCGGCCAATTCTGAATGATTTTATTTTCTCTCTGTCTTCTACTACTAGAGACAGACTCTGGAACAATGAATTTATATAAGATGCATTTTCATGAATAAATATTTGGGTTATTGTATATATTTAGTCTAAATCACGCAGTATAATTTTATGCCAATTTACAATGAATTTAATATCTTGAATTCTAATAGAGACTGAAGTTTCTTAAACAAGGTCTGGGCACATGGGCCACTGCGAGGTGGCAGACTCCCTCCCATTTGAGCCAACTCATGTACCTAGTACCTGTTCTGACTTTCCTCAACCACATGCCCATCTGATGAACAAGAGCCTAAAGAAAAAAGGGAGAGTATTGCAACACAGGAGTATGACAACACCAATATCAAAGGCCACAGGAGAGAACGTTGCTCAGACTTGCTGAGCTTTTTTTTTTTTAAACAACAACAACAACATATTTTTATTGATTTCAGAGATGAAGGGAGAGAGAGAGAAATAGAAACATCAGTGATGAGAGAGAATCATTGATTGGCTGCCCCCTGCACGTCCCCTACTGGGGATTGACCCTAAAACCCGGGCATGTGCCCTTGACTGGAATTGAACCCAAGACCCTTTAGTCTGCAGGCCAACACTCTAGCCACTAAGTCAAACTGGAATCGCTAAGCTTTGAGTGTTGATACATGGAGATTTTATGGTGGGAATCTGTGCACAGTTCTAGTTTTCAACCCCGCAAACTGTCCTTGATTTAGTTGGATAAATAAATGTTATCAAATTCTCCCAGGAAGTGTTAATTACTCCCAAACTCTTTATTTTTACTTCATCTTGACACAAAAATTCGAGAAATAAAGATGCTTAATTTCTTTTTTTGTTTTACCTACCCATTTGAGTTCATTGTGCTGTAATATGTTTAGTATAGTTTAAAACTCAATGATTCTCAACTAAACTCAAAATGAAAATAAAATTACCCACATTCCAGTTAATTCAGAAGGAACCATTTAGAGTGGATTGCTGAATTATTTGAACATGTCCCATTGCAATATTTATCTCTTAAAGTATTATTAAAGTGTACATAGCCAACTTAAATCATATGATGAATACTTATCTTACTTACTTAGATGTCTGAGCCTTAAAATCATAAACAGCTTTTGCAGGCAATTTCTGGAAAGGAAGGAAAATGATTAGCACTAACTTAAAATTTTGGGTTTCCTATAAGAAAGCAGTTTTATAGGAATTAAAGAGAAGTGATACCTCAAGGAATGATTAAAAATATATAATGTAAATTCTATATGCAATTTATGAATAAATCAATTAGTTCTTCATTTAGATGCTTAAGCAATAGCAGGAATATAATAGATGGCTTATTCACCGTAACTATTGAATGTCATATTTCATCTTAGCAACTAAGGTAGATGAATGCCATAAGGAATAAAATGCCTGCAGAGGATTCTGTCCCAGGTATAATTTTGGCTGGAACCAAGGCATTTCCTGGGATAATTGCGAAGTCAGTTTTCAATGTCTTATGTATTGGAACAGCTCCTTCTGAATCGTAATAAAAGGACTGGTGAAAGTTGGGAAGGAAGTCATCATCCCTTTTTCTAAACACTTATGAACATAGAGTAGCAGAGAAACATTAGCCCAGTTATCGCTGGGAGGCTAGTTAGTGGCCATCAGTATATGCTGGATGATCTTGCAATCCCCGGAGGGTTCAGGAATTCTTCAGCACATGGTACACCGGCTGCTCATCTTTTAGTCATGACATGTGATGTGTTCTTCCCATCAAACCGTGGGGCCCACAGATCTGTCTGGGGCACTGGTAAGCTAGCTACTCCACCTCTTCCTTCCCTACTTCCCAATGAGTCCCTCACCCCACTCTTTTCCCCTGTGATTCAGGCAGCCTGGACTATTCTTGACTTCTTTTGGCGGGAGTCCCACGGGCACAGGACTCTATCAGACACCTATAGAGATACTCCTGGAGGGGCTGCCAGTCCAAGACCAGCCTTCAGACCCCACCAGACCCTCATGGCTTCAAGGTAGTGTGAGCCGGAGCTCCAGGCCTAGATCAGGACATTGGTCAAGAGCTAGTAGGTAGGTGGTTCCCAGGGACAGTGGTTTTTTTTTTTTTTAAATTCTTTATTGTTGAAAGTATTACATATGTCTCCCTTTTCTCCCATTGACCTCTCCCAGCCTGCTCCTGCTCTTGCACAGGCCCTCACCCCCCTATTGTCTGTGTCCATTGGTTATGCTTATATGCATGCATACAAGTCCTTTGGTTGACCTCTTACAGGGCAGTGGTTTTTGAGGGACCCTCACCAACAAAAGCAGGCCAGCAACAAATACGTTTATAGCCTTTGTATTGATCTGCAACATGGTTGACCTAGGGCTCTCCCTACATCACTGGGCCAGGAGTTTGACCATGACTGTCCATTCATGGGTGTGAGGTCCAGATGCACAGAGGTCTCCTTGCCACAGCTGGGCTGCAGCTGGAGCCGATCTGCAGCTGGGGTCAGAACGCAGACTCTCCAGTCCTTTGCTCGGGCTCCAGGGAAAACGGTCTAAGTTTCTCTATTGTCATTTTTATGTTTTTCGTCTGTGTTCTTCACTGGTTTGGGATGTAACTTTGACTGGCAATGTTTTCAGGTATCTTATTGACAAAAACTTAAATGCTATTGAACAAACTACCTCTTTTTCTGGAGTTCCTCTTCTTTCCCTCGGTGCGCTCCTCCCCAAGTCAGCCACAGTGGACGCGTAACTTCTAGGGGACTCGCGGTCTATTGGAAAGGACAGGGCGAGAGTGAGTACCCACCTATTCAAAGCAGACGTGTTTAGCCATTTTCCCTGGTGACAACTATTTCCCCCCTTAAAATATGGAGAGACACCACAATGGAGAACATGGGTGTGAAACTCATAAGGAATCATACAGTTGTGACATTAGACATAAAAACAGAGCATTTCAAAAGGAAAATTACCTGAGGTTGCAGAAGTATTATAGTCGTACCTATAAATATAATTGTTGCACTGCTGATATAATTATACAGCATCCTCCAGGCCAGAAAGTTCATAGTTGCAGGAATTTTTCATCTCGAAGAATTTTAAATATTTTTCTATTTCTATTCTTTTTGCCTTCAACTTATAATGACTATTTTAAGGCCTATAGAAGATGGAGAATAGCACTAATGTATAGAATTGGAGACATTTTGTGGAACAACAATTTAAGAATGTAGTAAAGAAAAAGGAAGTATGATGATGACATAACTATGATCATGTCCATTCTCTCCCTCTCTCTGTTTTTAAATATTTACTGAGACTTGAGATGGGCCTTATTTCTGTTCTTTCCTTGTGCTCAACTTAGCGTATCAGGAAGTAAATATTTATTCCAAGAAACAAAGGGATAAATATTCTCGAAACAGAAAGTATCACGTCCGTTGCCAAATTGCTTATGAAATAGTGAATTGTTTTTGTTCCCCTCAAAGCAAAGTATAAGTAATTAGTTACTTTACAGAATTATGATTGCAAGGATCTCTTAATAGTTATCTTATACCTTACACATTTATATGTGGAAATGTAACTCAAAGTATTCCAGTAGCTTATGTTATAAAATTTTACCAGTATAACTGGGTCAAAATTTGTAAATTCTTTCTCTTATCCCTTTAATAAATGTAGTTATGTTGAATAACAAGATGCAGTAACTGTGAAATAAATCCATCTGTGAGGATGAGAAATACCGATTTATAAAAAGAAAACATGGTCTCAAGGTTTTGACTGCTTTGATGACAAGGAAGAATTGTCCACTGATAGTAGGTGGGATGTCAGTTCCATGACAGATAAAGATAAATGCCTAACTCTCTGTGAGGTGTGGAGTCTCTAGGCTTAGGAAGGTAACATGGCAATAATATTTTAGGTAAACTTAACCAGTTATTTCCGTGAATGCTAGAGGTTTATGTGCAGTATTTTTTCACTGTAAATTAATATATTTTTATCATCACAGGGCTCTCATAGTGATCATAAATTTTAAATTACTTTTGCTAAACACAACTGGAAAAGTAAATATTTGAATAAAATACAAAATGCCCTTTAAATGCATTGCAAAGCCCTCTGAACTCATGCCTTACTGATAGTATGTACTCTATCTGCATATACTGTTGAGTGGTGATTAAACTAGGATTTTGAATAACTGGAAAAGGTAGCTAATTTATTTAAAAAATTAGATGCTGACAGGGCTCAGTCAGTGAGAATTTCAAATCGTAGAAATTGATTTTGAAAATGCTAATTTGTTGTTTTTGAATCATGTTGCGTAGTATAAGTGGAGCAAAGATAAATACTAATAATATAGTGAAGTTGTGCAATGAGAATTAACAAGTGAGCCATATGCTATATTAATATGAAGCTTGAGTTATGTCTCTTTTTTGCCCATAGAGATATAGTCTATATTACAAATTCTGAAGTGTTAGGAGTTTAAATCTGTTAGTGCTACCTTCTCTCGACATGCCCTTGGTCAAGTTTATTGTCCTCTCTGGGTCTCCGTTTCCTTCATTGTAAAACAGTGCTTATCATAATCCCTATCACCCAGGCTTATGCCAGTGTTCACTGGATAATGTATGTGAAACATTCTGCAATGTCGGGTACAAGGTCTGGTGATCCAACTTCTTAAAATCTACATAGAAAACAGTTGCACCTTAAGGATTAATGAAAACAACTGTATAAAGATATAAAAACACTTTGTGCTTTTCAGTTCTGTAAACCTCAAAAAAACATTTTCTGCATCTGAATTGCTATCTGTCCTTGTGTTGCCAATTCAAGGTGATAATCCATCTATGAAAACAGAGTTGAGAGTCACGCTTAACCTAAATGGCCTAATTCTAATGTCAATAGAGGATTATTGTAGCAGAAATAGAAAACAGATAAATTAAACAATGGAATGGAAGAGAAAATGAATACACTGAGTGACGGAAATGAGACTGTTATATATATACAGCTTAACGATACATTCACAAAAAATTTACCCTAATTGTGCCCTTCAAGTGGAGAAAGTTATTAAACAAATCCTAGTCTCTTGTAATCACCCATCAATTACTTTGCTACATATTTCAGTTTTGCTTCCTAGAGTATTTTGCTGTAGTACGTTCTATATAGACTATAAGCAAATTACTTATCGAGTGAATGACTACAAAGTTTTAAAAAAATCAAGGAAAAAACTAGTCATTAAACTATTGCTTTTGATTCATTTCCCAACAATAAAAGAGCTAGTGCAAAGGTGTTAATCTCTTAAGGAAACCGCTAGTCAATTACGGGTTGCCTTGACATCTTTTAAAATTGGTAACGTGTTTAATTGCTTGTTGTGTTGTAACTAACAGTCGTCTCAACCCTAACATCAAGCTACAAAACCATGTTCCCTTTCGATTTCGAAAGAGTAAATTTTTGTGAACTGGTGATCATGTCAAGCCACACACACCACGTCCAACCATCACACGGAAAAATGAGAACTACGCGGTGAGGGGCGTGTGCACAGCCATGGTGCCAGGTGGGCTCACAGCTCAGGAGTGATGAGATGTGGGGATGGAAAATGACAGAGCTGGAGGGTGGGGATGTGAACCACAAGGAGAAACAAAGAAAGGTTGGTCCACCTGGCAGACCCAGGGCACTGTCGTGGTCTGGGTGGTAGTTGCTATTGGTGTCCATGTCTTGGAGAGAGGCACTGTGGGGCATCCTCCCACAGTCGCTCTGGTACCATGGGCAGTGGGTAGCACCGTCTTGGGGCAGCGGGTGGCAAGGCTGAGGCATGGGGCTCCTTCTTAGAGCTCTCAGCGACGAGTTCCTCTCGGGGACGTCCGGCAGCAGTTCACTGATCAGACGGTGCAAAATACTGTTGTCCGGCAAACTCCCCCTTCTCTTTTCAGCCTTAATTTGGTCACAGATGTCTTTGAGGGCGGAGTCCAGAGCCTCGAAGACGGCCGTTTTGCATTTTGCCTTTTCCGTCTGTTTTTTGGGCGGCGAATGCTTTTTCCTCCGGAAAGGCACGGGGCTGACTAGAAAGGCAAGTTTCGAGAGGCCGGCGTCCGGGTCATGTCTTCTGGGCTCTTCGGTCGTTTCGTGTTTCGCTCTTTCGTGTTTTCGCATCGTGGTGAACCGAGTGTAAGAGGCAGGGCACCGGCCTTTGCAGGAGCTGACGAGGTGCCGGTGATGGTGATGGTGGTGGTGGTGGTGGTGGTGGTGGCTGGACCCATAGAAACTTTCCGAGGAGGTGAAGGAAAAGTGGTCGAAATCGCTCTCACTGCAGAAGGACGAGCCCTCGACGTGCATGCAGTCGCTGTGTTCGGACACCACCCCGTCTTGGTCGCTGTCCGAAAGCTCCAGATGGGTTCTCGGCGGCTCCTCGCTGGTGACTTCAATGTGGATGGGCACCAGGGTTTTGGACGTGCAGCTCCGTGGTCCCGGGCAAGGGTGCCTGCCCGGATTGTCTTCCTCCAGCAAGGACTCGATGGAGAACCGCCGGGTGGGGCCCAGCCCGTGGTGCTGGGGCTCGAGGACCGCCGGCGACAGCAGCTCCTCCCCCAGGTTGGGCATGGATTTTGACTTCTGAATCAACTTTTCAAACTCCGAGATGCGGGTGGGGACCATGTCCCTGGGCACCTCGTCGGCGGAGGACTGGCTCCATCCGTGGAGCAGGCCCGGGGCGTGCGGCTCCTGTTCGTACTGCAGGACCCTCGCCTCACGGAGCACATCACCTCGGAGTTCAGCAGGTCCTTGCGGTTGATGCGGTGCATTTTCTTGTACATTTTCAGGAAGCCCGGGGCGTTGTGGGCTGAGCCGTGGCGCAGCCGGGACCTGCCGGTGGCCTGGTCTCCTGGAGGAAGGGGGGTGCCCACGGCACCGGGCAGCCCTCCTGGGCGTCCTCTTCGCAGAGCAGAGAGCCCATGCTCTCCGACTTGGCTTTGGGGTCGGGGAAGCCGCCGCAGTCGTCATTCAGGAGGTCGTCGCAGCTGCGGGACTTGATTTTGGGGGACACGGCCTCCTCGGTGCTGCTCCAGACCTCGGCGTTCTGCCGGGCCATCTGCCAGCCGTTTTTGAAGGCGAGGGCCCGCTGCGAGTCGCGCGGGACGTCCAGGTGCTGTCTGTAAGGGGGACAGTCATCTACCTCCTGGCAGGGGCGGCCGCGGGGCCCTGAGCAACTGCAAAGGGGTGCACACATTTTGCTATCATCCCCACCTTTTAATCCGGAGCAGCGTGGTGGGAGAGAGACGTGTGAAGAGGTTAAAAGTTTCACAGAGAGGAGAGCATGTCAGTTAGCATCAGACAGACAGGCAGCAAGAGAGGCAGCGGGTTTAATATGGACACATTGTTACCCTAGAAGCTTCACTTCCAGAGAAAACAGTCTAATTCTAAGGCATGATACTGCGTTTGCAGTGTACGTAGCTTTAAAGATAGATATTAGAGCTGACAAAACCATGCATAAAACGTCATTGGTGTAGCTAATACGACCAATAGCTAATAAGACCTATTTCTTCTTCTATTGAATACTTCGTACATCTTTCTGCAAATGTTATTTGCCTCAAATATAATATAGTACCTTATATGCTAACAGCATGTCCTGGTAGCAATGTAAAGGTTTAATAATTAATGCCCCAAATGATATGGATAATCAAGTTAATAGGGTCAGGATTTGAGTCTCATTTGATGTATACTAATAGAAAGGTAAAGCGTGATTTATAAATTTACATTTAATTAAAACTCCCACAACTGTATTAATTAATTTTCCATGGGCACTAGATGGGAAAAGCTATAAGACAAAGTATTTTCCGAAATGGCAACATCAAGATGCTGTGAACTATGGCTGCTAACATTTTCCCGAGAAGAAAAAATAACTAGTGCGTCTTTAAACAAAACTAACTTACATCTTTACTTGCTCTACCTAGAACCTTTTGGTAGGCAGGTTGTCATAAGCGTGGCTGGATATATATAATGTAAAGCTCTCACCAGAGGTAAAAGGCATCCTACTTTTCCCCAGGGAGGGTCTTTTTAAAACTTCATGTACCATTTGATAACAGAGAGCTCAGCATGGCCTCAGTTTGGAACATGTATGGGAAAACTCTTTTCTTTTGCTTGGCTAAATTAACTAATAAGTAAGAGGCCAAGTCCATCTGAGGAGGCCTTTTCTTCTTAGAAATAAACCTAGTGGAAGAAAATAACTCTGTTGAGCTCCTGCCTTGCAATCTTCCCAAATTCTTAGAAAGTGAATAAGCACATAAAAAGCAGACAGGTAGTATTGGGGAAAGGAGGTTGGCTTTACACTCCCCAGGAGGAAAACAAATAGCTAAATCAATCAATTCTTTCAGCTTTCGGTGGTATCCAAGCATAAAGACTCAAGGGCATTTCGTGACCTATGTGTTACCTTAAGATATTCACTTGCATCGATGAGCCGACTCTGATAAAGGCAACCTTGCTAATTTGAGGACAGGATCAAAGGGCCCCCCTCCCCTCCAGAACCTGCTGGTTAGTTTTCACAGTTTTATTAGGATACAGAGCAGAGCTGGTATCTTCTGTCTATCCAGACTCTAGGCATCAAAACCAGCCTGTCTTTTGCACGCAAACCAGCTCCCTCTCACCTTTAACTACCACGTGGCCACACTTTTAGTGCCTGCATTTGATAGACGTGGCGGAATCGGTGCTATTTCATGGAAACTCCTGTGAGAGGCTGCTTTCTTCACACATTTCAGATTCCTTCTCGGTTCTGTCTCAACCCCAGGAGGCTGGGGGAGACTGTGGAGCCCCAGATTTGGTACAGACCCAGGTGCCCAGCGATGCTGGTTCAATCCCCAGGCTCCGCCTTAGCAATATCCCCGTTACGGTGGCTCTAGTGCACGCAACAGGATTTCAGGAGCTGGAAGGAGTAGCTTGCCCCCTCTCAGCACAACTCGCTGAATTTCCGGAGAGGAGACAGGTCTTATGGGAAAAAGGCTTGGTGGTGTCCAGGTTTTATAATTATGGCTGAAAACCAGTTAGTTCTTACCACCGTGCCGCCGTGGATTGAACACTATATTGATGGATAGTCTACTGTATATATGCATATTGACCGAAATATAGAGCAGATGATTAAAGAAGTGACTTCACAGGTTAGGCAGATTTTAACTAGAATTAAATAATAATAAAAAAACCCGATTTGTTTTAGGCAACAATGTTCTCTGTTGCTACTTCTAATTCCTATTCTATAAATTTGATGAATTTTGCTAGTTCTAGAACATTAGAAAAATTTGATAATATGCACATGTTTGCAAACGTAATCCTTTAATAGCCTGCCAATAAATTATTTGATACTTTGAATTTGTTCCCACCCCCCCCCCCCAAAACAAACCCAAAATGATATATTTAGAAGGAGAAAAGCATTAACAGATGATACACTCCTTTACGCCACTTGGGTGGCTCAACCTGAGTTAGTCTGTGTAGGAAGAAAGCTATTGTTCCAAAAGTTCATTTAAATGCTCTCTCTGGATAGTTATCCCTGGACCAGCTTCACAGGGAACTCCAGCTTAAAACATATACTAGTAACGTGTTTACACTTCTATTCATTGCTGTTTACCTTTTGCTCTGGATGGGGAGGAAGGGGAAGAACTAATGAAAGACTGGGTCAGGGTGGCGCTCGATCCCGGGAGGTCCGCCCGGCCGGGGCTGGTCCTGCTTGCCCTTGGGTCCCCCAGGCCCCTCGGCTGCCCCACGGCCGGCTCGCTCTTCCTCCTTTTCCTGAAGTCACTGGCCAGGCCTGCAGAGCTGCAAGAAGGAATCACTGCAGTGTGGTTGGTGTTGGAGGGGGTTAACGTGAACCAGAAAGACGGGTGGGATATGCTAGCAACAGTGTTATAACTCTTCTCCCCCACCCCCCCAAACTGCATTTTTAGGAATTTATTCCTTAATATTAAACACTATCCTATATAATAAAAGGGTAATATGCAAATTGACCCTAATAGCAGAATGACTGGGATGACCGGTCGCTATGACGCGCACTGACCACCAGCGGGCACATGCTCAATGCAGGAGCTGCCCCTTGGTGGTCAGTGCACTCCCACAGGGGGAGCTCTGCTCAGACACAAGCCGGGCTGATGGCTGTGAGCGGTGGCGGGAGCCTCTCCAGCCTTCGCAGCAGTGCTAAGGGCTCTCAGGCTGTCAGAGGGATGTCTGACTGCCAGCTTAGTTAGGCCCGATTCCCCGGGGAGCAGGCCTAAGCTGGCAGATGTACATCTCCTGAGGGCTCCCAGACTGTGAGAGGGTGCAGGCCAGGCTGAGGGACAACCCCCCCACCCCTGAGTGCATGAATTTTTATGCATCGGGCCTCTAGTTTCTTTGTAATTGTCACTTAAAAAAAATAGACTATTTTTAGAGCAGTTTTAGGTGTCTGGAAAAGTAATTGGAAAGTATAGAGAGTCCCACATATACCCTTGCATACAGCTTGCCCTATTATTGACATTCGTTATTAGTGTGGTACATTTGTCACAGTTGGTGAACTATATTGTAATATTATTATTAAATGTAATTAAAGTCCACAGTTTATATAGGGTTTATGTGTTTTGTTGAGCATTCTATCAGTTTTGACCAATGTGGGACATGTGTCCATCACTACCACATCCTGTAGAATAGTGTCATGTCCCCCCTCCCTGGACATCTCCATGCTCTACCTCTTCCCCCCTCCCTCCCCCGACACCTGGCAACCACTGATCTTTTCACTGTCCACAGGGTTTTGTCTTTTCTGGAATGCCATATAGTTGGAACCACCAGGATGTAGTCTTTTCAGATTGGCATCATTCATTTAGCAATATGCCTTTAAGATTTTCTCCCGTCTTTTTTTTTTTTTTTTTTTGGCTGATAGCTCATTTTCTTTTTATTGTTGAATACATTCCCTTATGTGGTGGTGCCACAGTTTGCTTTCCCATTCAGCTACTGAAGGGTTTCTTGGTTGCTTCAAATTTGTCAAATTATAAACAAAGCAGATTTTTGTGTGGATATGAGTTTATAATCATCTTTTTAAAAAAGTTTTTGTAAAAATCCTCACCCGAGGATATTTTTACCCACTGATTTCTAGAGAGAGTGGGAGGGAGAGGGGAGAGAAACATCGATGTGAGAGAGACACATTGATTGGTTTCCTCCCAAAGGGGCCCCTACTGGGGCTGGGGAACTTGCAACCAAGGTATGTTCGATTCCTTGACCAGACCGACACCCTAACCACTGAGAAAACCAGCCAGGGCTATCACCATCTTTTAAAGTAAAAATTCTCCAATTAGTGTAATACGTTATGACTGACAATTCAGTCTGATGCTTTGAATTGTCTACCTGTTCCCTATAAGGAAGCGTCCCAACAACACAGATCATCCAGAGGAGGGGGGCCAGGATGCAGGGAAGGACTGGAAAAGAGGCCGACACCTGATGAGACAAACTTCTTACCTCAGGGCTTCCCTACAGCTCATCCTAATAATCTTAGCTTTAAAAACCTTACACTGCAACCCCAATATTTCCTGTTTAAGTAATCAATGGCCAATGATTTGGTCAGCAAGTAGACTAGTAAAGTGTCCTTTCACCATTCGTATTCAATGGTGTCAGTGGTCTCAATGGCAGGATGTTTTCATCCCGGTCTGAGTATGTAACTCAAGACAGTGAGCGGAGATACACGTCACACAGCCCGCTGTCTGCCATGTCGTTAGCTACAATGGCATGAACAGAGGCAGCTAAAGTGCACCAGCCCCTAGGAGGCAGCAGAGTGCTGTCTGCTGTACTGACAGGTGGTCTTACCCAGCCCACAGGGTTATCACTGTTTTATCAGTGGGTAAACGGAGCATGCTGGCTCTGCAAGCACAGAGGCGGAGCAGACCTCAGAATCTGCCTGCACTCCTCCAAAGAGGGCGCCCCATCTTCTCCTAGACCTGTTTTGCTGTCGTCAGTCTGTCATGTGAGGGTCTGTGTGTCTACAGCAATCCTCACGCCAGATCAGAACTCTGAAATTCAAACATTTTAGGTGCAGGTGTGGATAGAAAAAGACACAAAAAGAGGGGCTGGGGAGCTCCTTTCTTAGTGACATTCATGTCATTGGATGGCACTCATGAACCCAGTTTACAAAGTCTTCTACTTATGTTGAGAGAAATCTAGTGAAGGGCAAATTAATGTTATGAAAATACTAGAGTCCCGGTGCATGAAATTCGTGCATGGGTAGGGTTCCTAGGCCTGGCTGGCGATCAGAGCCGTTCAGGGTCTTCTGGCTGCCGGCCAGGGCCTTCCTTTGTTCCACACCGCCCCCTGGTAGTCAGTGCATATCATAGCCAGCGATCAAACTCCGGGTCTCCTGGTCGAACTTTTGAGAGGACAATTTGCATATTAGGCTTTTATATACATAGATGTGTTGTTGATGATAAAGTGTGGCTGGGAGTTTGACTTATTCAATACTGCTGTCGAACTGTGTCTGAATTTCTGTAATATTTTAAAGTAAGTATGATATACAAAGCCCACGAACAGAACTTACCCCAGCAGACTTTTAAGGCAGGACTAGTGGTTGGTTACAAGCTATTTTGGGTCAATTTTACTTTGTCTCTCCTTCTTGTCAAGTGTGTAAACTTAGTAAGTTATGGAGCCTAAGTGTCAGCGTACTCAGAGATAAAATGGGGATAATGGTACTTAAGTCAGAGTGGTGTCTTTAGGATTGAATATGCTTATGTACTTAGAATGCTTGGTATATAGTGTAAGTCCTTATTTATTGGAAGTAACATAATTCTCATTTGTGTGGTAAGAGTATAATGAACACATATGTGTTTTATAAAATTTTTCAAATATACAGGGATAGGCAACAGTAGTTTTCAGGTATGGGTATGCAAAATAGTTTACTCTGTGTTACTATTTATTCTTGTGTTATTTATTTGTATTATAACTGTCAACCTACTTTTGCCCACCCCTGTATTAAATGCGTCATATAACAGTATTGAAAATTAGCTGTTTATAATCCCCATTTAAAGATATGGTTATAGAGGAGACAGGGAAGAGGAGAATTTCTCAGTCTGTGAAGGAGTCCAGAAATATTTCACTTGATTGTCATCAATTCTTGAATATGATCATATAAAATGATGCAGAAACAAAACAACTTCAGGAAGTGTGTTACATAAAATAAAAACAGGATACATAATCCTCATTGCTGTTTAACGGAAAGAGAAAGCACTGGTATACAATATTCCAGTTGCATAATGTAATCACATTCTTACCTACTGGGTCTTTCCAGGCTTCTGTCTATAGAGGATTGATACAAGGAGGCCTGTTAAGATAGAAGAATAGGACCGTGAAAAAATTGTATTTTGTCCATGAACATTAAATTAGGTATGCTAAAAAGGATATTGCCAAAGTTGAGATTAAAAATACCATTTATTATGATCAGAAAAATGTCTCCCCTAAAAGAAATCACGCCACAGGGTTTCTACTTTCTTCCCATCTATTACTTTCTCTTCTGACTTACTGCACTGTATTGCTCTGTTTTATTCAAATCACAACCTAAACACTGCCTGGGAGAAAAAAAGAAAAATCAATAAATGTTTCTTATGTTGGAAATTGGCTATAAATAGAAATTTCCTACATAAAGGAATGGTTTGAAGATTTTTAAAAAAACTTTGTAGTCATTCAATCCTTATAAAGCATAAACTGTTTAAAAATAAATTTTTGTCATGTTACAGGTGTTATCTTTAAAACCTAAAATTTAAGCAGAACTTGAGACATCTTTCATCTGTCAACATAGACATAACATTTTAATAAAAACCACAGAATTTGGCTTGAAATTAAACTAAACTACTGGTACACAAATCAGGTACAGATTATCACATCTTTCAAATAGTTAACTATCTTTCAGGTTAGTTTATAATAAATGATTTAATGACCCAATATATAGCCTTAAAAAAAGTTGACTTTTAACATTTTGATCATAAAATCAACTCTCAGTTGTCCATGGTTGGAGGAACTAAAAACTGATAAATAATTCCAAATGCTTATTATACACACCATTTTCACGCGCCATTCTGAACAGTATAGTGAAATAGTTATTAAGCAAAAATGTTACATAAGAATTTTTCACTTCCAATGGCCATCCACTGGAATAATTGCTAAAATATCTAAAAGGTAAGAGAGAATCACACTCTAGAATGCTGGAGGTGACACTGATGTCTAGAATGTATAGGAAAATGTATATTCAATAGTCTTGGCTTTGGTCATAATTGATTAATTCTTTATCACAAATAAACTGGTGCTGGAAGCCAGTTCCTGCATGTCATAATTGCAAGAGTTTCATCAAAAGGTTGATGGAACTTGGGGACTCAACAAGGGCTGAGTCACATATGTTATCGCCTGCTGGAATGGCTTAGGCATTTCCCCAAACCTGAAAAGGGATGATTGCTTGCTGCCAGACAGCTCAGGGCATCTTAATCTACATGTTATTGCCTCCTAATGGCCAAACACCTGAACAGCTGTAGGCAAATTCTTCCAATCTGACAATGGATTCTGTACCTAACCCTACCCTTTGAAGTGTATATCTCCACCTAGCCTTAGGACAAATTGTGTTCATAAAAAGCAAGGGGTCCTGAGACAGGAGAACTTAGTTCCTTTTAGCTAAGTTCCTCTGACCCCCAAATGCCTTTCAAAATTATGTTTTGTCTCTGGACTCTTTATTAAGTTACACACAGCCCTTCTCCAGATTGCTGAACCCTTCTAAGATGCTGGAACAAGAACCCCGGCAAACTGGTCTGATGAAGAATTGAAATTCTAGTTTGAAAGTATTCTTCTATATGAAGGTCTATAAATGTTAGCCGGAAATGCAGAATTTGACACATTTTATCTTTAGTTCTTACCTCTAAGAAATATTTTACTAGATTAAAACCTTCTTAGTGGAAACTGAACACTTTAAGAACTACTTCTAGAACTGTAGTTTCTGTTTGTAAATTAGCACCAATTAAACAGTTAAAATATCAGTATATAATTTTGAAATTCTTTATGTAGATCAGTCTGACAAGCCCTTTTATGAAGCAGAATCTAAAATTGCTTTGATTCAGTAATATTTTCCTTTAATTCCATCTTACTAAATGAGAATGGAATCTTGCCCAGAAACAAACAAAAGCATCCTCTGCAAGAGAATAGCCCCCCCATGTTAGACAGAAAAAGCATATTGTAATAATTTTAGTTCCTAAAAAACATTCAGATTTCTAGGTTCTCAATAAATATAAACTTAGAAAAAAAAAGTTTGGTCTGCTGATGTGATAAGTTTACAAGATTATTTTAACTCAGCTCTGAATCAGACACTTGGAAAGGTGGAAAAATAAATACTAAATAAGAAGGAAGACTAACAAGTAAATACATAAAACCATGTACTTCGATTTAGAAATATTAATTCTCTATGTTCTCAGAAGAGCGACAGCCAAGAGCCTCAGAACGTTGCATCTGTGTGGATGGCTCCTTCCCTGGGACACCCACCACAAACCACAGTTGATCATCAGAAAGTGTCCATTTCAGAGAACTCTTAGAACACCCCTAGAGTGGTCAGAAATTTTGGATTGCCAGCTTGGGATGAGCCTAAATCAGCTGTGGGCAAACTACGGCCCACGGACCGGATCCGGCCGTTTGAAATGAATAAAACTAAAAAAAAAAAAAAGACCGTACCCTTTTATGTAATGATGTTTACTTTGAATTTATATTAGTTCACACAAACACTCCATCCATGCTTTTGTTCCGGCCCTCCAGTCCAGTTTAAGAACTCATTGTGGCCCTCGAGTCAAAAAGTTTGCCCACCCCTGGCCTAAATAATATTGTCATATGAATTAAAACATCCTATAGGAAGTGAAGGCTCTACACTTCCTATTGTTTCAGACTTAGGCTCAGAAACTACAACAGTTCCTCCCTGTGTTGGTTTTTCCACAATCCAAAATAAACTGAAATGGATTGTGTGACTTTATGTATACTCAAAGGAAAAGGCTTAGTATTAAATTAAAAGGAAACAGTAAAAAGTCTAGGTAGATGACCAAGAGAAAACCTTGTATGAGATTGTATGAATGGTACTCATCCTGAAATGGAAATTGTCTCCAGAAAGGAGGCAACCTGCTTTACCTATTATGATCGACTGGGTATTTAGATGTGACCAATTTTTTAACACACCTAAACTCTGCATTTTAATAAAGCAGAGTCACTGAATCACTCTTTCTGTTAAGTGATCATGTGATTATACTTGCTTAAAGGTCCTTCATTATTGTTCAGTGATGCCGGTTTCTCAGTTTTATTTATAGATATGTTGTTTGTGGCATGTACTAGGCATTTGATAAATGGTAGTGAAGGTAATGTCTTATCATTTACAATTTTTACAGAATATAGTACCTTATCAAAGTATTTTTTTTACACTCTGAAAAAAAACACACCATGATGTGAAACTAATAACATAGCTAATATGCTCCCAGGATCATACAACAACTCTCTCAATCCCAAAGAGGTAATGGCAAATCAGTTGAACCATCAGCAAAGAGCTGTTTTATGTGATTTTTATTGCCACTCCCATAACAATATAGAATGCACAGAATTAAGTTTCTACTATTTTTAGCCCAAGAATTTAACAGAAATCAAGAGTTAATAGGAAATAGTATTAAGTATATTGTTTGTTTCTAAAAGATTTGAGCCCTAAATCCATCTCCTGAAAGTGCTAAGGGTGGTATAAAGGAAATGGCCTGTAAGTGAAGGTTATGAGTTCTGTTTTATTTTTAATGTGCCACTATCTTACCATGTGATTTTGGACATTACTTCCTAAAATCATTGAGTGCTACTTTTCTTGACCAAAATATCAGGGAGTTGGATATGGTTATCTCTAAATTCTATTTCAGTTCTCAGTGAGCCAGCCAACTGCCTTAAAAACAACCTAGGAATATCTGACCAAAATATCTGAGAGAAATAGCTGACCAAATTGAATTCCAAAGTAAAATTTTAGGCCATTCATGTGCTTAATTGATACCTTTTCTTCAGATGTGAAGGAAGCATAAGAATATACTTGTTTTGCTTCCCAGAATATAATTGAAATTCTTTGATTTTCTTTACATTACATGCCTATTTACAAAAAAGTAAGTGTTTAGAAGTGACTGAATTCACTAACCCAGAATGTTCCTGATTACTCTGCTTGAATGAATACCTAAATATTTGCATAACTTCTATTTAACATACACTCAGATGCATAGCTCAGGGGAATCAATTGAAGCTCTGGTAAGCTATTTCCTTCTGAGACTGTACTTGCAATTCCAGTTTTTACCACTGTGTGTCAGTAGTATTTCCAGCAGCATAGGCATTCCACTAGCTTTATTTTATTTTCTAGTTGCACATATTTAACTGAGCTAAGACTTTTCAATGAAGACAAAATATTAAGTGTTTTTATATTTACTTAGGACCACAGAGACACTACTATTCAAACACCAGTTTATTTCCTTTGTCCTAGCTGCTTCTCAGAGTTCTCAGAGAGGTGTTTATACAACTGATATTTAGCAAGACTGTCACTTTTGCTTGTTTACTAACAAGTCCTAAATCTGCTTTCCAAGATATTTTATTTTTCTCTGCAAAGAGCAGGATAAAAAGCTTTTGACTCTGGATTATTTCTGCCTTTTTCATATTCCCTTTGACCAATTCAAATAAAATTTTACATTGCCGGGCATAATTTTATTGTACCCAGCAGACGGCGATGAACATTTCCAGAGAGAGATGGCAAATGCATTTCATGTCATTCTCCAGTGGTAATCTAGGTACTGTGTGGATGACAGGGTGGAGGAGGATTAGAAATGCCTGTCGGTGTGGAACCAGAAGTGTGACACGTGTGCCAGTTACTTTCAGCCCTGTTCTTTTTTTTTTTTTAGCTTTTAAATTTTTTTTCAATTCAAGTTTACATTCAATATTTACTCTGATGCATGTCAGCCCTATTCTTGATTTTATCTGATGCTGAAATGCATAGATTGTGTTTAGGAAAATGAAACAATTACAATACATTTTAGGAATATGTGGGGCCTAACCATCTGATTATCTAAGAACCTAACGGGTCATTTTACACCTCCAGGCATGATGCTCAAATGGCTCTGAGAAGCCTCCTGGTGGCATTTTAGTCTAATCGAAGCAGGTGGTCAATGTTCGCACAAAGACCACTGCGCTTGGTGTTTTATGACCCCACCTCAGGATACCAGGGCTGCACTGAGCAGTTCACCTCAGCCTATATTTCAGAAAGAGCCAACACAGTATAATTCATGTCCACGGAATGGTACC